ATGAATTTCGCGAGAAAGTGCCTATATTAAAACATTGTTCAAAGTGACATAGCATAGTTAACTAAAGAGAATATCAGAGTAACTATTTGATTGTATTCGTTTGATGGAATTGTTCGTTTTGTGTCTCAACGAGTAAAGATTATTTACAAATCAACTCTGGAATTATTTTTTACATAGATTGCACGATTCCACAATCAAAGCAGACACTCCATGATCTTCAGTAATATTCGAAGAAAAAATGGATGTAATTTGATTTATAAATTCAATTTAGAGAAATGAAACAATAAGCCTCTTTAATCAATGACTTAATTTTATATATGAGCGATTTTATGTTTAAAATAAGGATTATGAATTTTTGTTTCATTATTTCTATCATTCTTGAATCCTACTGTTGTGAACTGCAGTCATGATAAAATCATAGGAATAGAACATCGTTTAATTAATTTGTCAATTACAAGTTAACTTTAAGTGACAAATAAGATTGTGATGATATTCTTCTAGATGATATTTATTTTACAACTTCGATCTGTATTCTATCCATTCATATCTTAATAATTAGATAAGATTACGTTACAGATATTCGAATATTATATGTTATGCATTTACTCCACGTGTACTCTTCGATAAAAGCCTAAGTTCACGTATCAATATACTCACGGCCTTATGTGTCCCTCAAAAAAATACGACAACAAGGAAACGTTTACTCAACTGGTAGCGTGGCCGAGCGGTCTAAGGCGCTGGTTTAAGGCACCAGTCTCTTCGGAGGCGTGGGTTCGAATCCCACCGCTGCCAATCTTTTTTGCGCGTTTATCGCGAAGATTTATTCTTTTACATTTGGAAAAAGCTTTATCTCGCTATAAATTTTTATTATAACGTAAAATTGAAATTACAAGTTACCGTAATTTCACAATTATTTATCGTCGATAAATGATCGTGCTGCTCGTCGGCGTCTAACCGCATCGATAAAACAGAGCAAATCCGAGATAAACGGATTTAAATAGAGCGCATTTTATTTAACGCTCGCATACGTCACTTCATCTTTGTTTAACATTTGATAACAAGGGTGAAATGATACTCGCGAAAAATTGCGAATATCAAGTGGAACATACCCATAGTTAAGAAAGATTGTGTGTGTGATATCTGTTTTTTCTATAGGTAATTAAAAAGTTGTAACGACACGATGTTGGTATAGGTAGGAAGATAAGATACTTAAACATAACGACTTGAGTTTTAAGATAGGCGTTCCACGGAAGTTCCGCTGATTACTCTTAGTTCCCAAATGTATATGTCACGACGACAGTGCGTAATCGCACTCGTGTATTTCGAAAGCAGATAAATGTCGTCACGCTACGCGTACACGTTACACCGTGGTAGGAATAAAAATGAGACAGCGCGGGTACGAGTCCACAGTTCACCAGCAAATCAGCTGATTCCAAAGCTCATTTCTCTTGCCTTGTAAAAAGGCAGTTGAGAGAAAACCAAGATAAAATAAAGACGAGAAAATTATTTCGAATTAAAAATAACGAAATTTCTACAGGGTCGCCACGAATTTTTAATCGTAATATTTCTTGACATTTCCCTGATTTACTGACAATATTTTGAGATTTTTCCTGACTTTGAATAATACATATTTTGCAATGTTTCTTGTATTTTTACCGTAACATGGAAAATGTTAAATATTCTGTTGATCCGGCAATGTAACATAGATGCACATTTTCTTCAGGAAATGAATTCCCCCCCTCCCCTCCAAAAAAGGTAGTCCAAACTAATCATAGAAGCACAAGGCAATATAAATTTATTTACAGCTATTTTATTCTCCCTGACAAGTGTGCTAAATCCCTGATTTTTCCTGACTTCCCTGACTTGTGGCAACCCTGATTCTAAGACTTTTTGGAATTATGTACCATGTATCACATATATGTATAGTACGAGACCGATTGTTGGCCTGAATCATCATCTATCTTCCGATTTGCAATAAAACATAAATATCTTCGTAAAATTATTGATTCATGTACAAACAGAAAATATTTTAAGATAATTTATTACAAAAAATATTCTGAAATAATTTCAAAAAATAAAAACCTAAAAAAAGAACAAATTATACGATAGAAAATGAGAAATATCGTAAGCTTTATTTTGTTCTTATAAAAGTTAAATTTTTAATATAATATATCGCGAGAGAGAGAGAGAGAGAGAGAGAGAGAGAGAGAGAGAGAGAGAG